ACAGCTACTGGGGTTCATTGGTAGTTCAAATTCGTATCTTAGTAGGGGAATCATAAGCTTGCCAGGGAGAAAGAGCAGTTGTTTGAAAGACAGACTTGAATATAATTTAAGGGCTGAGGCAGAGCCTGGCAAGCTACCCGTGATGTATTCGATATGCCAAACACAGTAACAACAAAGTCTCCAATGGAGACGTTACTGGGCCCGCTCGAGCAAATTGATGAACAAGGGGAGGACAGTGACAGTGACAGTGAGGTGATAGCACAGGGGTCAGAGGCACACTTTGCCTGTATAAGATCCTTGCTCAATACCCTGTACCTCATACTCTCTTGAGTACCACCAAGTGTGTCCCTCGTGGTTCCCAGCACCAGAGTGTCTGAGCACCAATCCAGGACTCTAGCATTAAATTCTCTGGCCTGATTGGCTGAGTAGCACTGGGAGTGGCTCCTGGCCTCTTGAATATTGCTTGGAGGCTTCCCCTCCCCCAAGACTCCATAAACTGAACTCAATTCCAGTTATGAAAAGGGTGGAAAGTTTTTTCAAGAGTAGAAAAAGGAGTAAAGAGAATTTTTAAATAGTTATTGAAAACGGGGTTTAAGCTAGAGGAATTTAAAGGTTGCCGAAGAGAAGTGTCGAGTGGAAAATTACTGAAAATGCTTGGGGACAACTGATTTGGACAAAATGCATTTTGCAGTAGGGCAGAATTGTGCTTTCCTCCACTTTCCCTGTCTCTTTCCTATACTCTTAGCATTTATTTTTCTCTTATTCCTCTTTATAGAGGCACCCGCAGTGGTGCTGGTTGAAATTTGGAGGCCATTCCTGGAAATACTCTGCTTGACTGTTGGGGTCTGACAGTTCAGGGCTCAGTCAGGACTGGTGCTTGGAGGGTGTTTGGTGTTTCTGGGCACAAGAGGGTAAGATTTGAGGGGATCAGGCTCAGGGCTTCACACTTCCTACTCATAAATTTTACCATTTGAGCCAAAACAAAGGATCTGATACTATTTCCTTGTTTTGTTTAACTGTGTACCACAGATGAGATTATCTGATATTTGTACTTCTTTGGACTTATTATTTTATACATTAAATGTTTCCATTCAAATTGCAGGAAACTCTCTGATTTGACTTTTTTCCTGATTTATAGTGGTAGCCCTCTCCACTCTTTCAAAAACTGGGGGAAAAAAATTTTAAACCGGCTTTATGTGATCATATCTCTATCTTCGATTAGTTGTATTAAGTGGAAGAATATTGTATCTAACTGGAGAATGTTTCCGTTACTTAGTATTGTGAAACATGAGTCATGTAGATTTACCTTAAAAAATATTTTAATGGACTTGTCAGGTGCATAAAAACATGAATGTTCAAAGGACCTCGGGGTCAATTAGGGAGTAAGAAGCATATCCAATCTGCTTAAATCTAAGAGTTCAATTCCCATTGCTACCCTCATGGACTCCTCACAGCACCTGTGGCTCTGTCAACCAGGATCCCCATGCCTCAACAGAGTGTGCCCTTTTGTCAGAACATTGTGCAAATCACAAGTGTTGCAACAACCAGTGAGCAACAGAAATAAAAGCAAGTACTGTGATCAGAAGTGTGACCCGTGATGAGAACATCTGTGAGCACCACAGTGACCCCTGAAGAACACCACAACCAGAATGCGCACAGCACCACAGTGAATAGTGTAACCCCACCCCAAGCCCAACATATGCGCAAGCATTCTTAACTGAAATGTGCACCCATTGGCGAGCACCACAACCAAGCATTTGTGCAATTCCTGTACTTGCAACAGTAGCACTGTAGCACTGTCCTGTAGCACTGTCTTCCTGTTGTTCATCGATTTTCTCAAGCGGGCACCAGTAACGTCTCCATTGTGAGACTTGTTACTGTTTTTTTGGCAGATGAATATGCCACGGGAAGCCTGCCAGGCACTGCTGGTAGCTTGCAGGGCTCTCTGAGAGGGGTGGAGATGGAACCTGGGTCTGCCACATGCAAGGCGAATGCCCTACCCACTATGCTATTGCTCCGTTCATTATTATTAAATAAATTAAAACAGTTATAAAAATGCAGATATACCATTCAGGAAAACAGGAAGCAAGTACAAATTGAAATGTTTTCTTAATCTTTAGGATATGAAATTTTATAATTATTCCGGTATGATTATTCTTTCAACACAACCCTGGTTGAGATCCTTTTGTAGTCATCCTCATCAAACACACATTTCACAGTCTCTGCTTTCTCTAATATGAAATTAATAGTAGCTTTATGAGCTATATTGCCCCTTCTCTCAATGACACGTTCCTCGAAATACCTATCACAAGAGGACATTAAACAGGTGACTGAAGAACCTCAAACTGCAGTATTATTTATTACAAACAATAACATAATTATAATTTTGCATATTCAGTTTTACTTAATTTTCAGGGACTCCTGACCACTTTGGTAGAGCATGGATGGGAATATTCTAGGGTACAGTGGTGTTTCAATAAGTAGGCAAATTACCAGGGTAGTGGGCATAAGTATTAAAAAGGCTAAGAAGATATATAAATTGAAAGCATTGATATTAAATAATTTTATTTGGCTATGTTTTTAAAAATATTGCTGTGGGCAGTATTTTTGTTCTGATTTTTCTGGTATGACATTATATTGTGAGGTTAATATATGACCTTTTTTGGTGTTTGGGCTAGGTTTCCTAAATCTGGATATCTGTCTCACTCAGATTGAAGAAGTTATCTGCTATTATTTTTTAAACAAATAATTGTCATTTTCTCTTTCCTCTTCTAAAATGCAAATGCTAGCTGGAGTAAATAGGATACTTGCCTTGCACCTGGCCAACCCGGGTTCAATATCTGGCATCCCACATGGAACCTCAAGACCCACCAGGAGTGATTCCTGAGCACCAAGGGGTCAGCTCCAAAACAATGTAAATTTAAATGCGAATATTTTCTCTTGTTGATGCTATCACATAGATATCTTTTACTTAATTTTTTTAAAAAGTTTTATTTTGGGGCTATTATTGGTAGAGTTTTATATAAAAAACATTCCAGCACACATCCACGAGTGTCGGTTTTCCTCCACTGTGTCCCTTTGCTGCCACTGCCCCCACCCTCCACACTCCACCCTCCCTGTGGTCAGCTTCCTACTGAAGATCAGTCCGTTCTGACCTTCTGCTACCTTTGGCCATTTGCTATTCCTCTACTATGTTTATGTCCTGTATATTAAAGACATTCTGTATCCCTTTTCTAACTTTCCTCAGCATGACACTATATGCAAGTAGCATGAGTTCATTGTTTTGGGGGACCACACCCTGAGTATTTAGGGATTATTTCTGGCTCTGCACTCAGGAATTACTTCTGGCAGTGCTCAAGGGATTGTATGGGATGCCAGGGCTTGAACCAGGGTCGGCGGCGTGCAAGGAAAGTGCTCTAACCACTGCACTATTGCTCTGGTGCCATAGTTTCTTTATCTAGTCATCTGTTCTTGGACGCTTGGGCTTTTTTTTCAAAATTTGGGCTACTGTGAATAGTGCTGCAATGAATATAGGAATACAAATGTCTTTCTGAGGTTTGGGGCTCTTGGGGTAGATGCCAGGACATAGAATTGCTGGGTTATGTGAAGTTCAATTCCTAGTTTTTGGAGACCTGTTTCCAAAAAGGCTGAATCAATCTACATTCCCACCAGCACTGAATGAGTATACCTTTCCCCCCATATCTATGCCACACTGGTTGATTTGTGATGAATGCCAGTCTGGGTGTGAAATGATAACTCATTGTTTTGATTTTATTTGCCATGTTTTTATCAAATAGAAGAAACTATCTTTAGTTCTACTCCACCCAAGAAATGGAACCCTATTTCCTTATATTGTTTTTCTCTTCTCCTTAAGTCCTTTGCATAGTTAATTCAGAGCACTGTCCTTTTTGTATGGGCACAAGACAGTTAATGTAAACTTTTGTAACATGGGAGTTAATTGACCAGATAATATTGTCTTTGGGCCATCTGTTTTCTTGACCTAAGCCTCAGTTGCCCTTATTTCCTATCACCCTCAAAGCAGGGTCCTGACGAGGGACTGGATGGACCCAGGGCAAGCTGTGAGCTATGTACTACCCTGGGATCAAAATGGGCCTGGCCAAAGTTAAGAGCATGGTTATGGACAAACGCTGTCATGATCCAAAAAGCAGTAACTAGATTTGGACCCTGTTAGGGTTAGGAATGATTAATACGGCCTGAGCACTGTAGTCTGAGTCTGTGGCAAGATGTCCCCAGGAGAGTCACACTACAAGTTCAATGTATCTCTTACTGTGTCCATACAAAATAATATTAAGTAGAATTAAGATGTTAAGTTACTGGACTAAGGAAAGGGGAAAAAAAAAAACACCTTAAGTGGTATTTTGCCTTGAGCAAAGGAAGGGCTTTCTTATGTTGATTTTGCTCCGGATGGGGTGTGATGACTACCCCCAGACACAGGGAGTTGGAGAGAGAAGAGAGGTCAGAGCAGCAAGATGGTGTGTGGAGAGACTAGCAAGGGAGGCAGAGAGAGAAGAGTGTAGGGGAAGAATGCAGGAGATGCGGCCATGACGGGGAGCAGAGAGAGATAAGTGGAAGAGACAGGAGGAGATGGGAACGAGGGGCAGTGAGAGACTGGAACAGGCGCGTGGGGAGAATGGAATAAATGGCAACTGATCGCCGGCTTGGCCCTCGTTTCCTCCTTCATCCACCTCATAGCATGGGGAGTCCCGGGAGGGAATGAGGCCAGAGTCCAAACACGGGTGAGCCACCCAGGCTTCCCCTGGCTGCCCCAGAGATTATACATATATCCAATTAAAACTTCCAGCAAGCTTGCTTTTTCATTTTATTTTTGTCTCTCAACCCTCATATGATATGGAACATTTTATAAAGAAATGACTAACCTATACCTAACAGACACCAAATTTAGTATATACGATTATAGCCCCAGCCTTGTCACTCAAGAGAAATTTATTTTCCGTGAAAAAAAAATTATATTCTTCAAATCAGAAACACTGCCACCAGGAACCATCTCCATTAGGATCATTACAATCAGGCTTAATGACTAAGTGTGGATTGCTAACTTCCACTTCTTCTAGAAGCTTTTGCACGTCCTTACCAAATGCTTCTTTGCACAACCTGAGAAAACAAAGAACATTTTATCCAGTACTTAATTTTTCCATAACTCTGAAGAAATTTTTCTATTGGTGGAGGGTACTCCATACTGAAGTCACCAGGGGTGTATGCAAAAGTGCCATGGGCCCATTTGTGGTCAGGATCTATCCCAGGATTTTGTAAACAATTAAAGCATATGCTGTAACGATTGAGCCACCTTGTCCCAGACCCTGATGAATTTATTTCCTATTAGAGTAGAAATAGTAAAAAGATACTCTCTGGCCTTCTCTATTTAAGCAAAATGGCATAATTAGTGCTGAAACATATACACTGTATTCGTATATGCTAGGAACTGTCCAAATACTTCCTATATTGACCTACGTGATTCTCAATAACCCTATAGGTAGAGGAATCACTGCATCTATTTTATAAATAAGGCAGCAGGGAAAAAAAATCCCTATTGGGAATAACACATTCAAATAAATATATAAATAAGTAGCAGACCAGAATTTACACTTAAAAGTCTGACTGTAGTTCTCAGTTCTTAATCATTCTATAGTATGTCTCACAAAACAGTGTACTATGGGACAAAAACAAGGGCTTAGAAGATACCCACGAATTCCCCCTAAGAAAGAAGTCAATAGATTTACCCTAGAACTTGTAGTTTACAATCAGGAGACTTCAAGGCTGCATGCAACTTCATAATTCCTTCACGCCCTAAGGCATTCTGTGCCAGATTTATTTCTACCAGTTTTTGTTTGCTGCTAAGAGTAGAGGCAAGATCCTTACAACAGACAGAGGTCAAACCACAGCATTCCAATCTGCAGGAAAGAGAGACTAATGATGAAATTAACCTTATCCTATGACAGAACAAATACACAAGAGCTGTGGGAGGATATAACAATTCCAGAACTTAAAGAAAATGAGAATAACTGGTATAAAAACCAAGATAAATTTACTTACTTCCATTACTTGGAATTTATAAGATAAATAGATCCTTTTCTATATACAAATAATGATTTAATTATTATCAGGATAATAAACAAACATGGTATACCAAGGAAAACTATGAAACAATTGACTCTTTTTAACATCATTAAAATCAGCAATATAGTTTTACATTTTAGTAGATTTTAGAAATATAGTTCAGACTTAAGTAAAATATATGATGAGATTTTTACCACCAAGCCCTTTATACAAATAAACTTCACACATTTAAAAAAAATGTATTTGGGGGCTGGAGCAATAGCACAGCTGGTAGGGCGTTTGCCTTGCACGTAGCCGACCTAGGTTCTATTCCCAGCATCCCATATGGTCCCCCTAGCACCGCTAAGAGTAATTCCTCAGTGCATGAACCAGGGGTAACTCCTGTGCATGGTTGGGTGTGACCCCAAAAGCAAAAAAAAATGTATTTTAACATGAATACTAAATCCTACAGCATATTTCAATATATTAGGATCACTTGATAGATGGGAAGGAGAACCAATAATGGACAGACCTAATTACCCAATCAGATGAACAGAGAAAACTCACACAAAACAATGGTAATACACCACTGAGAAGGATGTTAAGCTCAATCTTCTTAACTGGCCATCTCTTCAAGCAACTAACTGTATTTTAATTTTCACCTTACAAATCTTAGTCATTCAACTATTAGTCATTCAACTATTAGGTGTTGAGTATGCAACTTTTTTTCAACTTGTTGCCACATGAAATATTAATTTGGAGCACATCTAATTATGACACAAGATGAATAATAAAAATAGTCTTGGGATGAAAAGCATTTGTAGCATATAAAAGACTCTATTATCTTGAATTTCAAATTACTAATAACAGTTTCACAACAGAAAACAAAACTACAAACTGAAAAACACAAATCTATAAAGGTAAGAGATTTAAACATGGTTTTCTTTCCACATTTTTTTAATATTTTTTCAAGCACAATTAGACACATAAAACAGAAATATAATAGGTAGTCCATGGGTGATTTTCAAATTTCAAACATCATGTTCCCAGAACACAATGCTAGAGAGTAAATTTAGAAGAAATCCCTTTTGTTTGAAAATTAAGTGTATAATTTAAATTTGGTTGAAGATAAGTCATAAAGGAAGGCAATAGAGTTAGACTCAAAAGTAACAAATACTATTACAACATAACTTACAGGATGACTGTAATAAAGTGGATTTGAAGGAAAATCATAACCGTAAGTCATAACCATATGCAGAATGAGTAACCTTGAAAGACAAGGTCATGTCTCCCTATAGAACACAGAGCAGGTGAGCTCACGACTTACTGTAAAATGGTGGATCCTTTTCTCCTGGAATTCAGTTCTAGTGAATATACATATATCTAACTCCTCCACATCAGTCCTGTGGGACTTAGAAGAGAAATTGACAAACATGCTATTTTTTATGCTTCTTTGTCTTTGAGTGGATTTTTTGTACTGAAACCAGCATAGAACAAATTGGCTGAACTTTCTGGTTATATGTAAGATAAAGTTAAATGTAAATACAGAGAACCAATTGACATAGGAAAAAGTGCTTGTTTATCTGGTGATGATGATACATCATCTCACACCAGTAAAAATTGCATACATCACAAAGGCTGGAAACAACCAGTACTACAGAACCAGTGTTCGTTCACTATTGGTGGTTATGTCATCTGGTTCAACCCCTGTGGAAAAGAGTTATGGAGAGTTCTCAAAAAAGTAATAGAGCTTCCATATGACCACTTGTTAGCATCTATCACAAGAATGTAAAAATAATAATGTGTGAAGGTATATACACATCTGTGTTTGTTTCAGCAACCACAATAGCCAGGATATGAAAGCAATGCAAATGTTCAATATCCAGTGAATGATAAAGCTGTAGCATATATATACAATGGAGTATTATATGCCTATAAGATGAAATAATGCAGTTTTCTGCAACCTGGATGAAACTGGAGAGCATTATGTTAAGTGGAATAAGTCAGAGAAAAAAATACTGGATGGTATCACATATCTGTGTTATATACAGAAACAAGAGGGTAATAAATAGAATTGAATGATGAAAAAAAATCTCGGTCTTGTTTTACAAAACTCAGGTTACTAAAGGGATGTGGTGGGAAAAAAAAGGAAAATGAAGATTAAAAATAACATAAGGATAATGAGGCAGAATCTTGAACATTTTGTTGGTGGTGAAGGGGAAATAACTTGACTATCAAAACCATAAACATTAGCACTATTAGAACCATGTTTGCTACTACGAACAATTAAAAATTAAATGTGAGAACACATACACCACCATCACTAGTATGGTAAATATATGAAAACAGTCAGTTCAAAGATAGCAAAAGCAGCACTTTTTAAAATAAGCAATGGAGACATTCCTAAAGGAAACAGCATAATAGTATTTGGGATTCTCATATATACAGAAAATTTCTTTATCCAAGTTTGTATTAATAGAAATAAACTACCCAGATTTTAAAAGAAAATAAAAATGCAAACACAGGATTGAACATAAAAATAAATTAGAACATAGGATAAAGTTTTTTTATTAGAGTGCAATAAAAAATGTTCTCAGTGGAAAGCTAAACTCACCCAAGCCTCTTAATATTACAGTTTGGATGGCTGAAAGCCTCATTAAGAATTTTCACTCCATCATCCCTCAAGTCATTGTTCCCAACATCCAGGCTGTGCAAGTTTGGGTTGTTCATCATAGTAGAAGCCAGATCCAGACAGCATGCATCAGTAAGATCACAGTTCATCAATCTTCAATAAATACAAATAGAAGTGAGACTATCAGTGGTTTGGCCAAATAAGTATATTAAGAGTTATGCCTTGGTAGTTAAACCTCTTTCTTATTCTATATAAAACCCAAGACACACAGGAGAAGGTTAAATATTACCAGAAGGGACATGGATTTCTTCAATGAATAAGAAAAAGTTCGACATACTTTATACCACAAACAAGTTGTTTACTACCAACTTCAAAATTGAGGGTTTAAATGTGTTAACAAATGCCAAAAGTGGTACCAAGAAACTTTTTGGTCTCTCTGAATTTTTTCTGATAATCTATTTTAAATGAAAACACTTCACAGAAATCTGTCCCAAAGTGTTATCTCCAAAGAACACCACTACATATACAAAGACTTTTTTTTGGAGTCTTTTTGTAACTTATGTTTATTAAAAAGCACTGTATTGTTTCAGATTTCTCTACTTTTGTATTTTTCTACTATTCCCCCACTCTACTCACCATGCTTACACACCCATTTCTCCTCAAAATATTTCATACGGATTCCTAATTCTATTTTTCTCCCCCAAGGCATACCTCCTTAGTCAATGTATAATGAAACCCTCTATTGTTTAACATAAACTAACTGCTTCTTCTAAGATCCACCCCTCACTCCCTGAGACTTCAGCTGTTTCCTCAAAACATATATTTGTATATATTCATACTTAGAGAATTTTGAGAGTAACGAGAACATGAGCAGGACATTAGTAATCAACATTAGTCCTCTCAGCATCTCTCTTATTTATTGTAAATATTAGCTTAGAAAACAGTCAAGGCTTCCATAAGAGCTATCAAGGCAAGTATAAAAACAAAAAAATTGAGGCTAGGGAGATGGCTCAAAGGGCTGAATGTCTGCTTTGCTAGCTAGAGGTCCAGGTTTGATATGCCAGCATACAGTACTCTGCTGAACACCACTGGGAGTAACTCCATTCACAGAGCTGGGAGGAGCCCCTGAGTAACACCACATGGGCTCCAAAAGCTAAAAAGAAAAAGCAAAAATTTGTCTATGTGTTCACATTAAAGGAAGTAAAGTAGGATGAGAAACTGCTTAAATATAAAGGTCATTTGGCAATTATATCTCTTAGTTTGTTCAGAGGCATTGGATTTGATTAAAATTACTGAATAAAAATAAACTTCGAGATTCACACAGTAACCAATATCATACGTGTATTTCTAGTGGAAGTGTCGTGATTACTGGACCCAGGAATTCAAACATCTGTTTATAGATATAGCAATGAACTATTAAACAGATTTGGAAACTTAATAATCATGCATCAGTCCAGTCGAGCTAAAGACTGCTGAGTAAACAAACAATTTTGAGAATAGTTATAGAATCTATGGCAGGCTAAACTCTTAAGGACTTACCCAGGCTACTACTTCCTAGTGGAGAAGTCAACTAATGACACCTCTGCCTGCTTTACTCTAATCACTATATTTATATAATGAAATTAAACGTTATTTAAAGTGTTACAAAATAGACATAATGAAAATTAGTCCTATACTAAGTTCCTTCCCATGTGGAGAGTTCCTTTTTCTTTCTCTTCTACTTTTCAATAAACTTTTCTACTTTCCAAAATTAAAAAAACAAACCAATACTACTAAGGAAACCTTAAAGTCCTGCCTACACAATAATCAAAATAACATATGTCATGCATATATATATATATGTCTACCAATTAAACCAAATAGAAATAAAAATAGTTGCTGTTTAAATATTGTTTTTATTTGAGTGTCCAAGAGCAGATGAGGGGATAAAGAAACTATGGAAACTATATACTCCATATATATGGAATGGATTCCATATATATAGAGTACACACACACACACACACACACACACACACACACACACACACACTGGAATACTACCTGGCTACAAGAATAGATGAAATGATGCAATTTTCCCCTACATGGATGGGACTAGAAGGTATTATGCTGAGTGAAGTCAGCCACAAGGAGAGGGACAGATATAGAATGATACCTCTTATATATATGGCTGGAGCGATAGCACAGCAGTAGGGCGTTTGCCTTGCACACAGCCAACATTGCCGACCCGCGTTCAATTCCTCTGCCCCTCTCGGAGAGCCCGGCAAGCTACCAAAAGTATCTCTCCCGCACAGCAGAGTCTGGCAAGCTACCTGTGATGTATTCGATATGCCAAACACAGTAACAAAGTCTCCAATGGAGACGTTACTGGGCCTGCTCGAGCAAATCAATGAACAACGGGAGGACAGTGACAGTGACAGACCTCTTATATGAGGAATATAAACTCAGTAAAGGAAAACAAAGGATCAAAGACAATAGAACCTGAGCACTGGTTTACAATACTGAGCTTACCAAGGTGAGGTAGTGGGGTGGGGTGGGACTGCCTGAGGATGGTTGGAAAGGGACCTTGAGATACACTGGTGGAGGGAAGTGATCCACTGGTGGGGGATAAGGTAGAATATTTTAGTCAGGAAACTCTTTGAAGTATTATAAATCATGGCACTTCAAAAATTAATTCAATTAAAATTAAATTTTTTTCTCTGGGGGTTTACACCTGGCTCTGTGCTCAAGAATCGATCCTGGTGGTTCTCAGGGACTATATTGAAATAGTTTGCTGGACTCAAGGCATGCACTGTCTCTCTGGATCCAATTTATATATTATTGGATTGTAGAAAATTAAAAAAAATTCTCTGGTTTTCAAATGTTGACCTAATTATAACATAAATTTTAAAAAATGAATACATTTTAAAATAATGAAAAGAGATAGTACAATATTTTCTTGCACTTCACTGAGTTAAAAATAAAATCACTGTTGTCCAATATGATGTTTCTGGTCCTCAGTATCAGAGTTAAAAAGATTATTGTAATAACTGCTTAAAAGATTCTGATGAACTTTGACAATTTCCCTTCCATGTCTCAGGCACCATTTGACAGCTACAAATCAGATTTTTTTTTTTTTAACAGAAACTCAGCACTTGTATCTAGCTCTTAGACTTTTCTTTCTAATCTCCCCTGTTTCCACTCCGTAGTTGAAGCCACACAAAAGGAAAGTCACAGAAAACTTACTGCAGTTCCTGAAGACCACTGCATGGATGCTTAAAGACAGCACACAGGAGCTTTACCACATCATCTTGTAGTCTGTTTGATCCAAGATCCAGATGTGTCAGACTATTATTTTGTAGAAGAGAGGTGGAGAGATATTCACCACTAAGTGAAGTGAAATGGCAATTCCTCAGCCTAGAAGAAAGATAATGTAAGGAAGGACAGAATCATTGTTCTACTATCCAGAGATTTTGATCTTTGAAACGCCGTCACGTCATGATCATTACTTTCTAATGTTACTTCAAATCAAACACCCACTTTCTTCCTTGCCTGTCTTACTTGGGAAACAGGTCTGCAACTAAACTGAGCTACATATTGGATTTATTTTTTTTTTCAGAAATTGTCTTACTGTAAAAATATTAACCTATTAAAATTATTTTCCATGACTATAGTGCCTCATTGCAAAGTTTCTATGGAAATGAGAAAAGGCATATTGAGGAGAATGAGGGTAACTACTGTCAAGTACTTTTCATATAAGATGAAATTAGCATTATAGACAAATATACCCTGGGTGATTTGGAGCTCAAACATTTAATATATGGGGAAAATAAGTTAAAGCATAAAAAATTGATTTGAAAAAATTTCACATTTTAAATGTTAAACAATAAAAGCATAATGATATGAAAATGTTTTATGATATATGGCATTAGTAATTACAACATAGATCATAAAAATACTGAAACAGCTTATTAAGAATCAAACATGCTCAACATCAAACAACATTTAAATCGTCATTTTAAACTAATCACGGTCTGGTCTTCCCATTGTTCATCGATTTGCTCGAGCGGGCCCAGTAACCTCTCCATCGTGAGACATGTTGTTACTGTGTTTGGCATATCAAATACGTCACGGGGAGCTTGCTAGGCTATGCTGTGCAGGCGAGATACTCTCGGTAGCTTGCCAGGCTCTCCAAGAGGGGCGGAGGAATTGAACTCAGGTCAGCCATGTTGGTGCATGCAACGCAAACGCCCTACCCGCTGTGCTATCGCTCGATGCTTTTCAAAATTAAAGGTGCCCAGTAATGGTATTATTAAAATGCAGATCCTTAGCTTGCAGAATGAGCTCTAAACCTATCTAGAAGGCAAATAAACCATTATCAAAATACTTTGGCTTATCAGCTTCAGGTCTCAAATTAAAGCAATGAATAAAATAGCTATATTCTGATCCATTCATACAATGGAAAGCTCTATTTCTATTAAGCTGTGTTTACACACACACACACACACACACACACACACACACACACTGTTCTAAGCATCAAATATAGAGTTGGATAAGTCAATGTTAGTCCTGAGTCTGTCATTTTCTTATGAAAATGAGGCATATCTGCCTCAAAAATTTAAGCACACTATAAATGGCAGATAATATTCTATCCTCATCTTCACTACCTTTAAGGATCATAGAGGGAAAATTAAACAGAATGTGTTCATATTTTCACATTTCAGATATATTTTAAAATTTATGTTATATTGGAATGATTAAATGAAAACTAATAGATACTTACACAAGGCTCTGTAGCTTACACTGGGGCTCTTTCAAGGCATCACTCATAAACTTTATTCCTTCATCTCCCAAGAAGTTGTCTGCCAAGCATAAATGTGTCAGCCTTTTATTGCTAATGAGAGCCAAGGAAAGATCCTTGCAACCAGCTACTGTAAAGCCACAGCTTTCTAAGCTGAGTGAGAAATACACATAACAATAGATCAGTCAACTCCCAAAGTTTATGCTTCTCTTTTTCAGAAATTATTTGGTACTTAAAACTATTATTTCTATGCTTCTCAACCCTTCTTAAATCATAATTTTCATTGCAACAGTACAGGAGATCAGATGAAAGAAACATGGGGGAGAAGAGAGGGTAGGACAGGAAAAGAATGAATATAAGACATCATAAAGAACAGTAGGATCTAAAAGTCAGGTACAAGAGAGGAAGTCAAGGAAGAAAATGAACGCATGTAGAGCTTATCCAAAATGATGATTTAAGAAACAAAGCACAAGACTTACGACAATCTCTCAAGGAAACACTCTGGATGTCTTAAGGCGTCACACAACAGCTTCACTCCATTATCAAATAGACTATTGTTTGATAGATTCAGGTATATTAGGCTCTGGCATCCTATTAGAGCCTTAGAGATATTTAGAAAACAAATAGTAGATAGGTTGCAGTATTCCAAACTGAAAAATACAGAATAGAAATTCCAAGTTCTCAGAATAAATGAAATTACCACAACCCATAGAAATAGGGTTCCTCAATCATTGGAACCTATCCTGGGAAATAATCTTTATACAGAATGACAGTTATTTATCATTTGTTTTGTTTGGGGGTCAAGCCCAGCAGTGCTTCAGGGGCTACTTCCAGACTTATGCTTGGGGTTGGGAAACAGTCATACTGGTGGTGCTCTGGGGACCAGGAAATACCAGGATTGAACTAGACATACATTCTTCACCCTTTGAGCTATATCTTTTGGGCTCAAATAGCAGTTATTTAAGAAAAGCATAGGATATAATAGGAAAGGAAGAGTGTAAGGTTGTCTCTTTCATCCCCAGGCTCCCTATTCTCTCTGGCAATATGAGGGGCATTCAAAATATTTTAAGTGATACATTTTTATTTTATTGTTTTAATTATTAAAGTAATTTTGTTAGTAAAGTCAGAGAATTTAGAATTTAACTAAAAACAAGGCTCATGAGTAAGGTTTATAAAGAGAAAAAGATCTTTCCTTTTGTAATTTTCTTGTAATTTTTATTAAGACACCATGATTTACAAAGTTGTTCAGAATAAAGTTGGTACCAGGTATAGAATTTTCCAACACCAATCTCACCAGACACTATTTTTGCCTTTATCATTTCTATAGTCAAATTGATTTTCTCCTTTGTTCCCAGTGCTAATTGAAATCCATCTAAAGATTTACCTTAATTTTATTTTTTTTTGGGGGGGGGTTTGGGTCACACCCGGTTATGCACAGGGGTTACTCCTGGCTTTGCACTCAGCAATTAGTCCTGGCGGTGCTTGGGGGACCATATGGGATGCTGGGAATTGAACCTAGGTCGGCTGAGTGCAAGGCAAATGCCCTACCCGCTGTATTATCGCTCCAGACCCTATCTTCTTTTTAAACTTGAGCCACACCCAGCTGTGCTCAGGGATTGCACTTGGTTCTGTGCTCAAGGATCATTCCTGAGGAACAATATGCAGTGCAGGGAATCAGCCCAGGTCAGCCACATGCAGGGCAAACACCCTATAGGATATACTATCTCTCCATTCCAGATTTCCTAATTTTTGAATGAAAGTTCAGCCTCTTTTTAAAAATTCCCTCTTTTTCCTGAAGCTTCAGAAAACAGCGACAATACTGAAATTCAGAAGGTGTTCTGTAGCAACAATTTTGACTTTTGTAAGAGATTTTATAAGATAACGTGAATCTTAAAAATTATTGCTATGTCTAATGAGAACAAGCTTAAGTACTAATAAATCTAATTTTGATAGACTGATTTAATAATGTCACGCTTGTATTAAATTGACATTAAACCTAAATGTTAGACAGTCAAATCAGATTTTCCTCACATATATAAAGTAACAAATGTAGTGCTGTTTATCTAGTTTCTAAAATTTTGAAGGTGCTGCCTACATTACAGTAATTTAGAATATCAATCACCAAATTCAATCAAAAGGGAAGTGGAGAGTTGAGGTTTCTGCCTCCAAACTGACTTCTAAATAAAACTCAACAAATCAAGAGGAGACATATTTAATTTGGGTCCTGCTGGCAAACCAGCTCAATTCTCTTAATGGTACCACCAAAATGAGACTCTTGAAAGAATTTTCAAAAAAACGCGCATAAAACAGGAACATTATAAATTTTGATGTTCTTATGTGTTGCTGTGACACAGGTCTGCTATTACTAAGTATCACTTGTCACTTTTCATCCCACTGTTCATCGATTTGCTCAAGCGGGAGCCAGTAACGTCTCCATTCATCCCTGTTGTGTGCTAGTGTAGCCCAACGGCATCTGTTCGCTCCAGGAACACAGGCTCTTACTTGTCCTTTCCGATGCTTCTGTAATGGGGGCTCTTTCAGGGAACGAGGCTCATTATTGTTACTGTTTTTGGCATATTGAATACGTCACGGGTATCTTGCCAGGTTCTGCCATACGGGTGGGATACTCTCGGTAGCTTTCCGGGTTCTCCGGACTATACTTAAGTAGCACTGTCCTCCATTTGTTCATTGATTTGCTCGAGCGGGCACAAGTAACGTCTCCATTGTGAGACATGTTACTGTTTTTGGCAGAGCCTGGGAACCTCGCCATGGCGTATTCGATATGCCAAAATTACTATGTATAGTCCATAAAATGGTCTTATGCAGATGATCCAGAGAAAGTAACCCAACCCAGCTGACCTGACGTCAATAACTCCACCTCTCTTGGAGATCCCAGAAAGCTACCTAGAGTATCTCGCCTGCACATCAAAGCCCTGCAAGCTACCCATGACGTATTCAATATGCCAAACACAGTGAAAACAAGTCTCACAATGGAGATGTTACTGGGTCCACTTGAGCAAATCAATGAACAACAGGAGGACAGTGCAGTGCAATGATTTAAGAAATTAAAATAAATTTATCTGATGTACAGGATTTTTATCATCTTAACCCATTGGAGTAAGATTACTGTGTTGCTAGTAAATTAGAATTAGAAACTGACTCAAAAGGCCTCACTTTCAAGAGCTGTGATACTATAGAAAGCAATGATTGCAGAAGAATGGCTGCCCTGGGGGATGTGGTTTCTGCCAGCTCAGAATTGATGTGTGGATGCAGTTTCCTTTTCTCCAAATATTTGCTATGTACTATTTTCAGATTGCCCAAGAACTCTGAACTTTATTTTCTCAAGTGTGAGATTATTTTTCTGATAAAAGTTAGAAATTACAGAAGTTATTTATTGCCTGCAGATCATATAAATCCACCCCAGTGGCAGAAAACTCTGAAGAGAAAGAGTGAAATAATGGATAGGCCTCATGGGCCTATTCTAAAACCCATGTAAATCACTTGTTTGTAAACAGAGACTTAAAGATGGATGAGAGATTTCTGCCTTGTTTTGTCATAGTGAGATATAAAAATGGAAACTTTTGTTTTAAATCTTACAATGCTTTATGTTTCTAATTTAGATAATATGTCTAAAAAGCCAAACTATTAGTTTCCTAAATAATCACTACTTACATTAGCATGTAAAGAAAACATAGAGTAGGTACTATATAGAGAACATGGGCACACTATACATATACATATAATACATATATTAACAGGTAACTAGAGTTGAATGACAAGTGTTTATAAATCGGAATGTAAAAATTTTAGAATGAGAAAACATTGCAAATACTGTAATATGTATGTCAGGTTAAGCATGATCTATAATCTAGAACAGAGCACAGAATAATAAGATTACATGCTCTGCCATATTACTAGTGATTATCCTTAATGTTAAACACATTTTTCAAGCCTAACACATTTTGAAATGTCAAAGTAAACATTTTGTTTTATCAAAATATTTATAGTTTGGGGAGAGAGTTTTAGATGACATTTGGCTATACTCCAAATCACTAAATTAGTCATTGTGTTTACCTTTCAGTATGATCAGGGACAAGGAATGATCTGACTCTTAGCAGGTTTTCTAAAATATTTTTAAATCTTCAAATTTTCTTTAAAATTCTTGCACATGTAAGTGGATTAACATGGAGAGTATCATGCTAAGTGAAATGAGTCAGAAAGAGGGACAGACATAGAAGGACTGTACTCATTTGTGGAGTATAAAGTAACAGAATGGGAGACTAACACCCAAGGATAATAGAGATAAGAACCAAGAGGAATTCTCCACGGCTTGGAAGCTGGCCTCACATACTGGGGGAAAAGGAAGCTTAGATAGAGAAGGGACCACCAAGTAAAGGATGCTTGGATGACCCGCTCGGGATGGGAGATGCATGCTGAAAGTAGACTACAGACCGAACATGATGGCCACTTAATACCTACACTGCAGACCACAACATCCTAAAGGAGAGAAAGAGTAAAAGGGAATGCACCTGCCACAGAGGCAGGTGGGGTTGGGGGTGAGAGAGATACTGAGAACATTGGTGGGGGGAGAATGGGCACTGGTGGAGGGATGGGTACTTAATCATCATATGACTGAAACATAAGCCTGAAAGTTTGTTAAGTCTGTAGCTGTACCTCATGGCAATTCATTAAAAAATAAAAAATAATAAAATTCTTGCACAGTGGGGATATTGTGAGGCAGACTGCAAAGACCTACTTATTATCAACAGTGATAATCCTACCATAATCAGGACAGAGACAAAAACTTCAAAATTAAATTCTAAAAATGACTTAAATGCCCTTATGTTTTCATGAAGAGTATTTGCATGATATATGTATCTCTAATGGATAGAACTTGAGGTGATTATGTAAGGTAATAGTAGGAAGTGAAAGCACCATATAAATGGTTTCATTCATATGTGAAATACAAACAACTAAAGCCAACAGACTAGCAAACAAAACAAACTCTAATTTAGTGAAAACTGTAGTGGCTACTGTGAAAACTGTAGTGGCTACTGGAAGGAATTGTGGGTGGGGTGGAAGGAATGGGCAAGTGACCATTTTTGGTGATAGTATGGAATTATAACCCTGGTAGTGGGAGTGATGAATTTATACACATACAGATGTGCTAAAATATACCCCTGAAATACTGTGATATTCTAAAACAATGAAAAGAGATTAAAAACAAACTGATAAGCTTAGCATGATTTATAGAGAGTAACCATGCCAACCAACTGGTCACAACTCATAGCGTGAACTAGAAATCAAATGCAAAACCGGAACTTCCCCACATGAAATGTTAATATGAGTTTCATAAGACTATTGCTTAACTGTCTAACGCATCTAGTACTACACAATTTAGTAACAAATATATTAAATTCCTATAATAAAACATTTTCCCTAGATAAGGAGCCCTTTTCATTCAGTTTAGACATAACTTTACCTGTTTGAAAGCCTAGTGACGGAATCTATATAAAGGTATCTGTTTAAGACACTGTCAAACCTTTATCAAATATATCTTATCAAGTCTTACAAATCCTACTGTCCAGTGCCAGAGCATTTTGTCTTGGATCCATGGCTCTTACTGTAAGAAAACACCTTTCTGAGAGAGCAAAAGGGAATACCCTCCCACAGAGGTGGGGCAGGGTAGGGGGGCTACTGGGTTCATTGGTGGTGGATAGTGGGCACTGGTGGAGGGATGGGTACTTGACCATTGTATAACTGAAATCCAAGCACAAAATTTTGTAAGTCTACAACTGTACCTTATGGTGTTTCACTAATAAAAAAAAAAAAAAGAAGAAAACACCTTTCCCTCCATTTAAAAGCTTTTTGCTATTTGTCTTGTAGACAGAGGGATCAATGCCCTGCTTCCCAACCTGGGTTTTAGGTAATATTTGCCATTACAAAGAAGACTTCAAGGTGTTCTAGAACTACTTCATAGACAGTAAAAACCATGCCCCAACATGGCTATTACTGACATTTTTAGACATTTTATTATATATTAGACATTAGCAATAGCATAGCATGTAGGGCATTTGCCTTGCATGTGGCAGACTCAGGTTTGGATCCCCAGCACCCTTTATGGTCCCCGCAAGCACTCCAGGAGTAATCCCCTGAGCACAGAGTCAGGAGTAAGCCCTGAGCACCACCAGGTGTGGTCCAAGAACAGCAGCAGCAAACCCCAATTTGTTTTTAAGAATTATCCAGCATCCTTCCAGAAAACTGTCGGTTTCATTCTGTTAAAAACAACTAATGAAATTTTTTCAAAGTTCCAAATGGTAACACTATATGCTTATACTTGTTTTCTACACATGCAGGCCTACTTCAAGCTCCAGTAAGCAGTATTTAACCCCTGGGCTAAGTCTAGATATCACAAAAACATCTGAAGTGAAAACCAATTCAAACAATTTTACTTTCTGTGCTTCTGTTTGTCTTTAGGTTTTGTCATAAACAGCATTAAATAGCTTTCACTGGAAAATCAGGATTTCCTGAGACCTGTCAGAAAATGTGGGAAACAAAAGGAAGGCTAATCCTCGCTTTCACAGAGAAAGAAATTAGGGGCATTGCTAGGATCAGTAAAGGTGACTTGAAGCGGTCACACCCCTTCACAGCTGACAGTTATGATAATGTTTCTCAGCTTTCTATACTAATCTTAACCTGAACTTATCAAGAGATTGATGATCAAAGTAATGAAACCTGTACCCACCTAAGCTCCTGACACCATCAGCACGTTCTTTTCTAGGAGTATTCAAACTAACAGTGAGTATACAAATTCTTATGTTTAAATATGAAACCCATTGCTTCTCAGTCTTTTGGCTAAGATCAAGTGTAGTATCTGTTCTTATCAGTTTAAATATGAAAATGTTTTATTTATAAATTCTGGGTTTACTCTAATTTGTCTTTAATATTTATGAGATGGAGATACCTAACTGTACAATGAGGATATTCAGCAAGCTGTTGGGGGCCTAGGAGGAGTTGAATGTCTAACCAGAGGGAATCAGCCTGAATTGACTGACTGCTGCTATTTCGTTTCATAAAAGTAGATTTAAACCAATTCTGTGATGAGAAAGGCCAGGCTCTAAATCTGTTTTTATAGATGAAGGAACCAATTATAATTAAAATTGCACAACTTACTTCAGATTCTGTAGGTTACACTGCGGGTGTTTCAAGGCTTCACATAATGAATTCACTCCACTGTCTCTTATATCACTCCCTTTCAGATCGAGATGTATCAGATTCTGGTTGGTGGTCAAGAAATGAAATATATCTTGACATCCATCAGGGAAAGAAAGAAATCTCAACCTTCAGAAGAAAAATTTAGGTAGATAGATATACTCAGCTGAAAATTCAAACACTTAATATTCCAATTTATCTTTGAAAATGTTTTTGACATGCCAAGACTTAGCTGTATTCATCTAGAAAATTCCTGACTCAATTAGGGGACAGAACAATTGTATACCACGTAGGACGTTTTCCTTTATATGGCAGGCCCAGATTTGGTCCCCGGAACCCCATATGCTCCTCCAAACACTCCAGGAGTGATTCCCTGAGCACAGACCCAGGAGTCAGTCCTGAGCACCACTACGTGTGGTCCAACAACAACAGAATCCCACATCAATAGCTACAGCTACTACATTCCACACAATATTCTTCCAAACAAGGTACTGATGTTCTCATATCCCCAAAGTTTCTATAGTTTATGTCCTTAGTTACATTATACAGTGGATTTTGTTTGCCACTGGTTTCCAGAATAAGTTTAACTAGGATATGAGTCAAACAAATGATTTCCAATAGTTCTATTAAGGTTTCTCATGCCAGACTTACATTAGTTTTTCGAGTTTACAGTTTGGGCTCTTTAGTTCTTCATAAAGGGTTTTCACTGCTGATTTATAAAGGTGGCCATCACATAAGACCACCTGTTTCAAGTGGTCATTTGTATGAAGCACTGAACAGAGATCTTTCCAGAAATGGGAAATGCAGCCACCATTCCTTTGCCTAAATAGTAAGGAAAAGATCAATGAATATAGTTCAGCTTAGACAACTCTACAATGGAAATGCCATTTCCCTTCAGAGATGGGAAGAAAATTTTAATTTTCACAGATAATTTTAGTGGATGATAAGTATATATTTGTATACTGAACTGTAATATTATGTTAGACATTATCAATAACTCACTATAAACAAATCCAATAAGGATTAAAATAAGTAAACTTAAGCTTTAGAATGGAATGATTTGATTCTCAACTCTGCCATTAATTAAACTAGCACACCGGTAGGGCGTTTGCCTTGCACGCAGCCAACATGACCCACCCGAGTTCGATTCCTCCGCCCCTCTCGGAGAGCCCAGCAAGCTACTGAGAGTATCTTGCCCACACGGCAGAGCCTGGCAAGCTACCCATGACATATTCGATATGCCAAACACAGTAACAACAACGTCTCCAATGGAGACGTTACTGGGCCTGCTCGAGCAAATCAATGAACAATGGGAGGACAGTGACAGTGATTCTTGAAATAGTACTAGTTCATAAGAGATGCAACTTCATGCTAAGGTTGTTGTGAAGACTTAGCAAGACAGTCTACAAAAATGCTTAGCAAATGTTTTAGTGTAAATGCTCACATCAAGTTATGTATGCTTTAATATATAAAAATCTAACATTTGCCTAATGCATAGTTGCAACATTGAGGGAGGGAAGGAAAACAACTTTTCCCTCTGCCTTGTAAGCCTGCCGGCTGGTCCTGGAAATATCTGACAAAATATAAATGAGAGAGAAGAAAAGACAGCTTACAAATATATGCATTGAATACAAGTGGGAGAAATTATGCTATGTGTATTTTAAAGTAGTTAGAATTAGAGTTCCCTATGCCTAACTTATAGAAGAAATGCAGGGGTCAGAAAGGGTATACAGGAAAAGCAATTTTTTTTCTTTTAAAAAGTAAATAGGCCTTAAGGAAAAGAGGTAGGAGATATTTCCATTGTGTGTGACAGACCATCAGGGTGCAGTACCAATGTGTTTTCACAAAAATTTATATCCCTTTAAAACACTAGGTTTTCAGACTTTGGCAAGCAACAATGACAATTCTAGTACTAGATAATATAAGAACAGGTTATAGGAAAGTAGCATGAAGACTGGAAATATAGAGTTCAAAAATGTCTTCAAGCATTTTATTAAATATAAAATACATTTATAATGCCCTGAGCTCAATCTTATCTTTAAATAGAATTAGGAAGTCAGAGTTAAGAAAATGCCTAAAGGACTCCAAGGATAGTTAAGATCATAGCACCCTAGGGTATAGTTCCCACTTCCACAGTTCAAAAGAGAAATGAAATGTTCTTAATTAAGAGGAATTCTTTTGCAGCTGTCAGAAGAGACAATGAGACAGGTTAAGTTGGAAAGCTAAGGACTTAGAACCAAATATGTAGCGTTAATCAAGATATACTTTTATAACTTTTAGTACCATAATACATTAATGAGTAAAATGGAAATATAATCTGCCTAAGACTATTAGGAGACTAAATGAGTTGAGATTAAGAAGACTGTCAGATATGTGCTTGGAAAATAAAAGCTCCCATTTGTTGTGTGCATGAATAACTGTCTAGTTATCTTCTCGGTAAACTTCTCTGAATCTGTTTTGTGATCTTAAAAATACACATAGTTTTGGGCCAGAGAAAGAACAGGAAGTAGGGCACTTGCTTGGCACGTGCCAACCCAGGTTTGATCCCTGGCATCCCATATGGTACCCTGAGCCTACCAGGAGTGATTCCCAAGTACAGAGCCAGGAATAACCTCTGAGAACTGCCAGATGTGGCCTAAGTACCAAAAATAAACAGTATTTGACCAACATTAAACTGGAATATAAACATTCCTTGTATAGCATAATAAGCCTCAATTTCAGTTTATTTAAAATTCTGCAGCTCCGTTCCTCCCCTAGATTTCTGTAGGTAGAGTTAGAAAAGGCAACTGGAGGAGGGGGGACTGGTTTAAATGACACAAAGAAAAAGTGATGGTTCATTTATTCTTTCAAAACATTAATTCAGCACCTACTATTTCTTAACCACATGTACCTCTCTCCATTTAGGTATTATAAAGCGTAGAGACCTCTCAGACCAGAAAACAGCTAACCTATGTCTAGGCAATGGGAAAGCATATTACACTGGAACAGGAGCCTGATATATGGCCTATCGAGTCTGTCAAGTAATCCCAAATCCATTCATTTCAGGAGGTAGGGGGTAGTTACTGTTTTAAATAGTTAAATATACATACATATATTATAAAGGATGCAAGTGCACACTGTGTTGCATCGCTCCTTGAATTCGGAAGCACTCATTCCTTACTTATTAGGAGTATTAAAAGCTAATACCTCTCAGCTAAGAGCATTTACACTAAACCAAGAAAAGTGGCTTCAGTTGAGCTTGTCTCCATTCCTCACTAGAAGCCATGCATGGCTGGTCACTAAGAGGTTTTTAGCACCTAAAATCCTTGCTACAAAGTGGGAAAAACTCTGAAAGCTCCTGCTGGCTCTGGGGCTGCCATTAAATAACTCTTCCCCTCCCTCTGGCAAAAATCTGCTTTCTCATCTTCCTCAGAGTACTCCCAGGTAGCTGATACAAAATACTCACCGAGTTTCACCTTCTGGGATTGAGTCTATCATCTCAGATACCAAATCTATAGACAGTTTAATGCTCTGTAAACGATGGCAATACTTAAGGCAGAACGAAGACACAAGCAAAGGGATTTTCCCACAAATATTAACGGCAATCTTTTGGAAAGATTTCATTGCCATGCTTACAAATGTCTCATCTTGGGTCTCATACAGATACTGAAACAACTCTAGGAAGTCCAGCTGTGATAGAAACTGTTCACTGTTTCCTACTGTTTCCACCCACTCAAGTATCTTCCACTTTAACTCCAAGGACATGTGACAATGCAAACTATCTTCTAGTTGTTTTATCCTATCTTCGTTCAGAAGGCCAAACAAAAAGCATTTCATCTTGGTCAAATGAGGGTCTTTATGTGTTTTGCTTTCAAGCAACAGCTTTACATATTTAGGAGATATAAAGGGATTGTCATTGTCTTCCAGATTATCTTCCAATACGTAGCACATAGCTGCAAAAAACTCCTGTACAAGTACATGGGTGAATACAAAGCAGTTTTCATATTCTGTGTCCTTTTGAAGAATATTCATGTCCAGGAAGCCTGAGATAGCAGATGATGTTAACCCATGCTTCTTGAGATTTTCCTTGTAAAACACATAAGTCATATTCCATACCCCTGTGACAGCCAAGTGACATAGTTTACGCAGATGGCATTGAGTAGGTTGATTAGGAGAGCTTTCATCACCATGGGTGTACAAGTTAGAGATGTAGCAGGTAAAAAGAGCGGTGGTGGTTTCACAGGTGGCTAGGATATTACCGCCTTTCTCCATTTGCTGCTTCAGACAAGAACAGATAACCCAGCACACTTTGGGGGCTCTGCACATGCTAAAAAGCGTCTCATTGTCTTTCAATACACTGAATACTTGGAAGGCACTCTCCTGGTCTTCAAAGAAATGGTAAATATACTCCTCTCGTGCCTCTTCAGACATACCCTGCAGCTCTACAGAGCACTGACTCTTCAACAAAGACTGGAGTTTCTCAGAAGCTACGAGTTTTGTTGTCACCAGTAAGGAGCACTCAGGGAGCATTACTTTCCTCAGCAAACTACTCATGAGGAAAGACACAGGGTGTACCTGGTCCCATTCTCTGCACAGCGCAAACTCAGGTTCCTCAAAGGCGAAGTTCAGCTCATCAAAACTATCAATAATAAAAAGGAGACTACTTGGCCGGGACAAAATCCTTTCAATGGGGCCTTCTCCACTGGGCCAATCCTTTGATATCATTTCAAGAAAGCTTCTTTCTCTCAGCTGGTTAATTTCTCTTGCATTGAGATAAAAAACATGGGTAAACTGTTGCTGAAATAGATTGCCCAGAGCCCAATGTAACATCGCCCTTCTCATTAAGGTGGTTTTCCCTATTCCAGCTGCTCCCTTGAGTACTACAGTCTGCGGCTGCTCACCGGTTTTGACATCAATATCAAATAAATGTTCTAGCAGTGTTTGATCTTCCTGAGTAATTCCATGGCAGAACTTGAGTTCTCCAAACAAATGCTTTTTATCCTCCATAATGCTAAATTTTTCTTGTATTAGAAGTCTGTATTCTGTCCCTTCACCTAAGGCAGATTGGAACAAGAACAAAGACACACGATTAAAGTAAAAGTTCTATAAGTTACAATGCTCAGAATGCTGGACTGGGGCATATAGTTTAGAGGTAGTACACATGCTATGAATGTGCAAAGGCAAGCCCTCTACTACTGACACTGCCTGGTTAGGTTTCCAGTATAACAATAACAAAGGGAGTACTGGACTGGGGGGGCAGTGTGAGGGTCTAGGTAGAGGGTTAGAGTACCTCTATTTAGCATGTGAGAAGCTTGAGTTCGAGTTCAAACTCCAGCACTTATATGAAGCACTGCATGTCCTCCCAAGCACTACTAGATATAGTTGTGGCCCCCATTCACAAAATCATCAGGTTCACACTACCTGGGGTGTCCCTATTTTTTCTTTAAAATTTTATTATAGTTTAAGTACTGTGGTTACAAAAGAGTGTTTTAGTTTATAATATTGATGTACAAAATTACTGCACAACAAAGTGTCCATGACTCTTTGCCTCTATCCTTACATTACCTTTGGTATAATCTCATTCTCTCCTTAGTTAACCTAATAGTACTGATCCCCTATTAAAAAATACTAGTAGACTTGGAATTAAGAAGTGATATAGGTTTTAATCAAAGTGGAACTCTTTTAGATAATAATGTAAATTTTAAAAATACCTGCAGATCTAATGCCTGTATTAGAAATTGAAAGAAAATTGATATTACAGAGAAATATCTTGTGACTAAAAAATTCTTAACATTGTTTTGTTCTTTTCTTTGATGTAGAAACAAAAGATAATATATGTGGAAACCAGTCATCCAGATAAGAAAATACAGACAATAATTCAAAGTGGCAAGGCAGGGACCAGACAAACAGACCTGAACCTACAAGTCAAAATAACTTATTGTATATAGATAAAATATTAATAGAAATGAACATTGAGCCATAATCTGAAGAATATTTTAAAAGAGGTAAAATAAGTAACAAGAATTAAAACTCAGATTCATCAAGTTCAATTTGTCCTGTATATATCAATTAAAATACTATTTTAGGAAAACCTTTTCTAAACACTGACACTAAGTAGTTTGCTCATTTTTAATTAATAGCACATATCAAAAGCTGTCATTACCTTATGGAATTGGCAAGATGGAGGTGTTATAGACCATACCCAGAGGTGTACAGGACTTACTGCTGCCTCAGGGATCACTCCTGGAGTTGCTCAGGGATTGAACCTGGGTCAGCTTCATGTAAGACAAGCATCCTTCTGAACTTATTATCTCTCTGGACCTTAAGAACATAAATTCTACAAGGCTACCTAGTACAGAAACACCTAATATACCACTAAATTATGCTTAGATTTCACAAGGGTACCACAAGGCAGGTATTACTTTTACTATATATCTATGATCAGTACTTAAAAAGAAAATAGTACTATAAGGATGATTTTTTGTTGTTGTTGTTCATTAAACTTTCCTCAGTCTTCCAAATTTTCACCAGTAAATGTCCAAACTCCTGAAACCCTTATTTCCTGAATGTATGGCCAAATAATAAAGTTGTAGCAAAAAAAAATTCCTTATATTCAGTCAGAAAGTCAGAAAGTAAGGGGTTTAGTGATAATACCCTGGGTAGAGTGCTTGTATTTCCTGTGGCTGACCTGGGTTCAATCCCAAGCTTTTCATATGGTCTCCCAGGCCTGCAGGAGTGATTCCTGAGCGCAAAGCCAGGGTAAGGCCGGAGCACCTCTGGATATGGACCAAAAACAAAGCAAGAAAGTAGAAAATTGTCTTTTAAATCATTTAATGTATTTTTAAATTAGTGTTTGGAATGCAACAAACTCAGTTATTTTTTTATTAATGAAACAATGTGGTCCAGGGTTCAGTACAAAGAAACAACTGGGTTAAGAATGTAAATTTTGGACCTGAGAGCTAATACAATGGTTAAAAAGAGCTTGTCTCCCATTATATTACTTTATATTCCACAAATGAGTGTGGTCATCCTATGTCTGACCCTCTCTTTCTGCCTAATTTCACTTAGCATGATATTCTCCATGTCCATCTACTTATCCGCAAATTTCCAAACTTTGGTACATCTACACAATGTAATACTATGCAAAATCCTTATTGGGATGGCAGGAGGGATACTGGGAACATTGGTGGTGGAGAATGGGCACTGGTGGAGGAATGGATGCTCAAATCATGTATGACTGAAACATTCATAAAAGTTTGTAAGTCTGTAACTGTACCTTATGGTGATTCGATAAAAAATAAAAAGAGTTTGTCTTGCATACAATCTACCCAGGTTCAATCCTTGACATTGTGTAAGGTCCCCCAAGCCCCACAAGGAATGATCCCTGAGTGCAGAGCCAGGAGAAAGCCCCAAGTGCCTCTTGGTATGTCCCTAAAATTATTGAAAGAAAGAAAGAGAGGGAAAGAAAGGAAGAAAGAAAGAAAGAAAGAAAGAAAGAAAGAAAGAAAGAAAGAAAGAAAGGAGGAAGAAAGGAGGAAGAAAGGAGGAAGAAAGGAGGAAGAAAGGAGGAAGAAAGGAGGAAGAAAGGAGGAAGAAAGGAGGAAGAAAGGAGGAAGAAAGGAGGAAGAAAGGAGGAAGAAAGGAGGAAGAAAGGAGGAAGAAAGGAGGAAGAAAGGAGGAAGAAAGGAGGAAGAAAGGAGGAAGAAAGGAGGAAGAAAGGAGGAAGAAAGGAGGAAGAAAGGAGGAAGAAAGGAGGAAAGAAAGGAGGAAAGAAAGGAGGAAAGAAAGGAGGAAAGAAAGGAGGAAAGAAAGAAGAAAGAAAGAAGAAAGAAAGAAGAAAGAAAGAAGAAAGAAAGAAGGAAAGAAAGAAGGAAAGAAAGAAGGAAAGAAAGAAGGAAAGAAAGAAGGAAAGAAAGAAGGAAAGAAAGAAGGAAAGAAAGAAGGAAAGAAAGAAAGAAGAAAGAAAGATAGTTTTAAGTGCTACAGGAGATGATAAACTAGTACTTAAAAATTGTTAATTTCTAGAACTAAATCTTTCAGTCTTATTTCAATATAATTTCCTTTGGATTTGAATCATGTGTATTGAACTGAGTTTATATAAATGAAAACACTAAAAAAAATAAGTAAATGGAAATACTGTTGGGAAAAACTGAACTAGGTAAGAAACCTATATTTTTTAAAAGGGGCACCTCTCTAGCAGTACTCAGAGGGCACAGAGAGAACTCCTTGTGATACTTGGCCAACCAAGCTGGCAGCTGTCAGTTCAGCAATGTGGGGACTGTCAGGGGACCTCCAGAGTCATGTGCAGCAGTGCTCAGAGGCCTCCAGGGATATTCCTAATAATTCTGGGGATTTGGACAATTAGTGCTAATGATCAAATTGGGGTGGAGAGCATGTTATCTCCCTAGTCCTAAACCTATATTCTTTGTTTTGGGTCCACGTCCAGTGGTGCTCAGGACTTACTCCTGGATCTACACTCAGATCACTTCAGGCAGTTCTAGGGGAACCATATAGGGTGCCAGGGATCAAATCCAGATCGACGGAGTACAAGGCAAATGCCTTACGGTACTACTGCTCCAGTCTCTAAAGGGTCATTTCTTTTTATTTTGGGGTCACACCCAGCAGTGCTCAGGGCTTATTCTTGGCTGTGTTCTCAAGATCCACTGCTGGTGGGCCGTAGAGGAGTATATGGCATATCAAGGATCAAACCTGGTTCAGCCTTGTGCAAGGCAAACATCCTACCCGCTGTACTATTGCTTATGTCCCCAAAGCATCATTTCTAAAGAAAGTTTATAGTTGTCGAATCATGTCTGTCAATTCAGGGACATAAAACACATATGTGTATATACCTTTAAAGATCAAAATGTGAACTTTTTTTTTCTTTTTTGGGTCATACCCGGTGATGCACAGGGGCTACTTCTGGCTCATGGACTCAGGAATTATTCCTGGCGGTGCTCGAGGGACCATATGTGATGCTGGGAACCGAACCCAGGTCAGCCACATGTATGGCAAACACTCTACCTTCTGTGCTATTGCTTCAGCCCCTAAAATGTCAGCTTTTAAGTGGACACTTCCAATACTATTCTCAAGAAGTCCTAAATTTAGGTGACTCCAAGTCTGTCTGTTTGGTCAGAGAGGCAGTTATTATCATTAGTTTTGAATAAAATAGTGGGCAGGAAGGTAGGAAGGTAGTGGAAAATGTTAACTGGAATTAAACAAAGGTCTTCTGGGAGACAAGTTCTCATTTTCAAAATCTCAGGTTTCTCCAAAAATCTTACACAAAAAGTCTTAACTCACCCAGCTCATCCAGTGTTGCACCCTGTTCATCTTGTGGTTGAATGATGACCGTGGCATCCTTGGGTGCCTTGATCTGAGACGCCCCTGTAACATGTTCATTGCAAAATATGAGATTTATTGAACACAAGGACAACAGTGGTGATAGTCAGAAAAGAGACAGATTTTCCCTCATGGATTCACTTCTGTAATCAAATGGCTTTAAGAAAATTAAAACCTCAAATTCACCAACTTAGCTGAAGGGAAAAGTGAGGTTAGATGAACAACACTGAAGTAGGGGACCTCTTGCCATGCACTTCTGCATCCTGTAACTCTGTGGAAAGTTTTTTAAAACTTTTAACACTCGCCACCCTTTTCACCCAAAAAACTGTGGTGAGTATATAGGTATATAAAACACTGATAACAAATCATAAATTTTAAAAGTTATTTAAGTTATGTGACTGTGAGGTCGCAACTCAGTTTGAGAACCTAGACTCTAGGCCATGCTTGGTTTCCTTTTTCATACTGACCTCCAGGGATATGGTGAGGCTTAAAGAAAATAATTGATACATGTTTTACAGCCATAAAGTCTAGAATATGAAAAAGTAATTTGGGATATTTATAATATTTGATACCTGGGAATGACAAAAATATCGTTTAAAGATATTAAAGGTTCTTTAATATATATATTTCACTTTTTAAGTAATCTTTGAAGATTTTTCCTAACCCATGGCTTCCTTTGTAAAGGAGCACAAAGTGGAATGAATTTTTGATTAGTTCCTCTAAACATTCTATTTGATACAAATGGATGAATTATCATCCCGAATTAAGAAGCAGGTTAAGAAACTGCTCAAAATTCCCCACCTCTTTATTGTTCAAGGAACCCAGGAAGTTAACCACCAAGTTAACCCAGGGTACTTAATCACCAGGGAGTGAAACCATTCCCAAAGACTCTGGGAAGCACTTTCTTCTATCCTCCCCTCTATCTACCTTACCCCCCTAAGCATCCTTAGATAACTCACAGTTCAGCTCTGATTTTGCTCTCTCGCACATATCCCTCAGGTTTAGCTTGCCAAAGATTTTGAGCGCCACATTCCAGGCCACCTCTCTTGAATAATATTCATTCATCAAATTAGCCAGTGTCTCCCGGTTGGCCTTTTTCACTTCAGTCCAGGGTATCTGGCAGTGTCCAGGTTTCATGGGCTCTTCCTTTAGAAGTAACTTGAATTTATTAAATTCATCTTTGTTTAACTCTTCCAAATACAACAGCAGCCCAAAATCCAAAAATATGGAAGATGATGTATCTGCCATCTTGTTCTACAGATCAATATTCAGGCGTCCCTGAATAGGGGGAGGGTAGAATAAAAGAGCATGGAATATATGGGACTTAAAGAAAAAAATTAGAAAATAAAATACCTAGAAAAAAGTTAATTTAACATGTATATGTTCTAACCTGCTATATTAAGCTCAGTACCAACTTAATATACACTTTATAGCAAATTTTCAATCACAAAACACCTATTATGTTTCTTCTATTAGAAACATTTCTTTAGTTTATTCCACCTTAACAGAAGTTACTTCTAAACCCATCCTATATGAGCTGCAACAAAATAAAGTCAATTCATGGTTCTAAATCTCTGTTTACTCTTCTACAAAGAGCACAAGAGGACTAACCTGAGGCGCCTATGATAAGATAAATGAGCCTGGCAACGAACAGGGTCCCAAGTATAGAAAATTTTCCTCATCCTTTTCTTCCCTGCCGACACCCAAGAAATATCTCAGCTTGTAAATCACTGTCTTTCACCAGCACATCATTATCCAACATGGAGGGAACCTACTGGCAAGATCCCCGTGACGTATTCAATATGCCAAACACAGTAACAAGAAGTCTCACAATGGAAATGTTACTGGGCCCGCTCGAGCAAATCGATGAACGGGAAGACAGTGCTACATGATATGGAATATGACACCACCAACTGCTTGTCATGTCATTTTTGGCCACAAGTCCATGTGCAGTCACGAAGGTCAGAGTTTCTGGTTTACCAGCTCTTACACTACTCCAAGTTAAAGCCTACTCCAAGTCCTTGACCTCAACTCTTAGGATTTATTTCACTTTGATGAGCACTTCAGACTTTATGAATGACTACTCAAACTGAAATTTCCCTCCACCCATTCTATGAGAGTTAACGGAACAGTTTCATGTCCTCACTCCAATACTGAGGCAGTTAAAATCTTATCAAATCCTAGTCTTAAGGATTGTTTTCCCAGTATGGAGGATTCTCAAAAAAAAATAGAAATTGAGTTCCCATTTGACCCAGCAATACCACTCCTGGGAATATATCCTGGAGAGGCAAAAAAATACAGTTGAAATGACATCTGCACTTCTATGTTCATTGCTGCACTATTCACAATAGCCAAAATCTGGAAAAAAACCGAGTGCCCGAGAATAGATGACTGGTTACAGAAACTTTGGTACATCTACACAATGGAGTACTATGTAACTGTTAGAAAAGATGAAGTCATGAAATTTACATACAAGAGGTTCTACATGGAAAGTATCATGCTAAGTGAAATGAGTCAGAAAGAGAGGGACAGACATAGAAAGATTGCATTCATCTGGGGAATATAAAGTAACAAAATAGGAGACTAACACCCAAGATTAGCCGAGATAAGTACCAGGAGATTCCCTCCATGGCTTGGAGGCCAGCCGCACATGTTAGGGGGAAAGGCAGCTCAGATAACGAAGGGAACACCAAATAAAGGGTGTTTGGAGGATCCTCCCAGGATAGGAGATGCATGCTGAAACTAGACTATAGACCGAACATGATTGCCACTCAATGCCTCTTTTGCAAACCGCAGCGCTCAAAAGGAGAGAGAGAACAAAAGGGAATGCCTCGCCACAGAGGTGGGAGGGATACTGGGATCATTGGTGGTGGAGAATGGCCACTGGTGGAAAGGTGGGTACTCGATCATTGTATAACTAAAACCCAAGCACAAAAACTTGTAAGTCTACAACTGTACCTCAGTGTTTCACTAATAAAAATTAAAAAATTAAAAGAATTGTTTTCCTAAGAATATGGACAGTTCTTCAAAAACTAGAAATTGAGCTTCCATATGACCCTACAATACCACTTCTAGGAATATATCCTGAGGATGCAAAAAAGCACAGTAGAAATGACATCTGTACCTATATGTTTATTGCTGCACTGTTCAAAATAGCCAAAATCTGGAAACAACCCAAGTTCCCTAGAACAGATGACTGGTTAAAGAAACTTTGGTACATCTACACAGTGGAATATTATGCAGCTGTCAGGAGAGATGAAATCATGAACTTTGCTTATAAATAGACATGGAGAGTATCATGCTAAGTGAAATGAGTCAGAAAGAGAAGGACAGACATAGAAGGACTGCACTCATTTGTGGAGTGTAAAACATAACATGAGGCTGACACCTAAGGATAGTGGATACACGGGACAGGTAGATTGCTCCATAGCTGGAAGCCTGCTTCATGAGCAAAAGGGAGAAGGCAGCTGGTAAAGAGAAGGGATCACTAAAAAAAAGATGGCTGCAGGAATCAGTCGTGATGATAGGTGCAGAAAGTAGATAAAGGACCAAACATGATGGCCTCTCAGTAGCTATATAGCAAAACAATGGCCAAAAGCAGAGAGAGAGTATGGGAAAAATGTCTGCCATGGAGGCAGGGAGAGGGTGGGAAAGTGGGAATTGGTGGTAGAGAATGTGCACTGGTGGAGGGATGGGTATTTGATCATTGTGTGATTGTAACCCAAACATGAAAGCTTGTAACTATCTCACGGTGATTCAATAAAATAAAAAAAAAAAAAACAGAATCGTTTTCCTCTAATTTATCAGCTAAGAGCCCTGTTCAGTTTTTTATTCAGCATAGGCTCTACAGAAAAGCTATCTCTAGGAACTACAGAAAATCTTTTAACCCATGTGTTTAATTTATTTATCTCCTCTTCAGTGATTTGTCCAGAGATAGAGTAGCAAATAGTACATCAGAATTCCAAATGCCTAAACTTCTCCTTTGCGGTCTTTCATAAATTACTGCTCTACTCTTGCTAAAAGGACTGGAAAAGATGGCTTAAAAAAAGGTACCGAAGGGAGATTTTACTTCTTAAAACAAAGTGAGTCATCTCCAAGTATACAGTATGTCAGGACTTTGAGGAAACTTCAAAGAAATACTGGACATAGAATATGGTGAGGGAAAAATGAGCTATAAACCTCTTTAATTACCAGCCTATAAATATGTGGGCCGTTCCCCCACTTCGCCCCCTACAATAAGGAAAATCTCTCCACTTTTCCAGACCACCTCTACTTGTCATCTGAATTTCACCTGTATCCAATTACTAAGGAAATTAATCCAATAATTATCTTTAGAATTTTTAATATCCCAGTCCTCTAAGTTACTCTCATTAACATCAAAACATATAGACCGAACATGATTGCCACTCAATGCCTCTTTTGCAAACCACAGCACCCAAAAGGAAAGAGAACAAAAGAGAATGCCGTGCCACAGAGGCAGGGTGGGATGGGGGGGATGCGGGTGGGAAGGACACTGGGATCATTGGTGGTGGAGGGATGGGTTCTCGATCATTGTATAACTGAAACCCAATCACAAAAACTTATGAGTCTACAACTGTACCTCATGGTGTTTCATTAATAAAAATTTAAAATTAAAAAAAATTAAAAATAAAAATTAAAAAAAAAACATACTCAAGAAACAACACCCAACCCCACCCCCTCCCCTGCAAGCCAGGCTGAGCATAGCCTGGTGGTGCCAGCACACAGACTGACATACACAGCACACACACTTCTCTCTGGAAGTGACCCTGCTGCCCCCTTCCCAGCACAGCTGGGTATAGCCCTGATTTAAACAGCAACAACAACAACAACAACAAAAAACCAACAAAAACCACAGTATTGCCTTTTCAAGGATTATAAGCAGAAAGAGGCATGTAACTGATTTGGTACCAGGTATAATAGCTATTTTTTTAAATGCACAAATTCTTTATATCCTCACTCCTCTATGCTCTCAGAGTGTCATATTTTAATTTTCTTCTTGCCTTTCTATGTGCCCCTTTGATTCATGAATTGTGTATCTAGGGCCTGGAGCAATAGCACAGCGGTTAGGATGTTTGCCTTGCATGCGGCCAACCTGGGTTGAGTCCCAGCATCCCATATGGTTCCCTGAGCACTGCCAGGAGTGATTCCTGAATACAAAGCCAGGAGTAACCCCTGAGCATCGCCAGGTGTGACCCAAAAAGCCAAAAAAAAAAAAAATTGTGTATCTACAAATTTGACAGAAAGTACAGTAAACTCTGGCCTCCCTCCAAAGAGTATTATGCTGTACTTTGAGAAGTTATATTTATAGTCATTTTTTTATAATTTAGAGGGGTAAAACAAATATTGCCTGGTATTGTTACTTTTCTGCAAAAGTGTCAAAAATTTCCAAAAAAAAAATGTTCCGGACTAAAATGAGGATCTCTTTGGACTAAAAAAAGATTTATTTTGACTTGAAAATTTAATTTTGTTAATTATTGTCATTTAATGATAATTAAAACTTGTCTGTTAAATAAAACTCGGGTCATGGAGCATATGTATTAAGTGGAACACATCTTGCATGTGAAAGGTCCAAAGTTCCATCCTGTGCTGCTGTAAGTAGCCCTGGTGGTCTCTGGTTCATTGCCAGAAAGCCCCTACCCACCCAAAAGGAAAAAATATATAAATTACTTAGCATATATTAATTACAACATATGTTGATAATCTTCAGTGAGTATTTCTGAAAAAAAAATACTCAAATTTTCTCTAGTCTTAAAAAATAGTCTTTTGACATCCAAAATGTCAAATCAGGGCCCAGAGAGATAATGCAGTGCGTAGGACACTTGCCTTGCACGTTTGAGACTGAATTTGATGTTTGATACCAGATATGGACCCCCAAAACAAACTAGGAGTGGTTCCTGAGCAGCAAGACAGGAGTATGCCCTAAAAACTGCTGGTATTTCCCTCAACAAAACAAAATAAAACATCAAAGATCACTCTCCACTATTAACCAATACATCTTAAGTTTACTTTATTATTCTAGGCCTGAGAATTCAAACTCAAATGAATTCTGTGTAACAAAGTTCTGTGATACCTGATCCCATACTGTATGCTGGACTAATGGTAGAGAGGGAACCTCAAATATATAATGGACAATCTTCTGTTCTAGAAAGAAGAGGAAAGCATTCTTTTCCATCAAAAGTAGAGATGCAATATTAGAATGTGACATTTTATCTAAGTAAAAGGATAAA